ATATTCTTTTTTGCTTGTATCTCCATAGTGCTTAAACATCCCCTGTTACAGTATTTTGTACTCTATGTACAAAAGTATTTTACTCTATGTAAAAGAAAAACAATTTTCATGCAACTCAAGTATGTTACTACTGCAACATCTTCTCACAATCTTTGCATAGACTTCTTCAGAATTTTTGAAAAGAAAAACAAAACCACAACAAAAAGCTTTTTGGTTGATTTCAGCATAGGTAGCATCTACTCTTGCATTTGAATTACTGGCATCTGCCCAAGTTCTTCTTACTTCCTACGATGGGTGAACAAGCTTAATTTTGTGGTGGTAAGATTATGTGGTCCTTCTCATCACTATAAAAGACATTAAGAGAAGTATAAAATYTGGCTAATCCATACAAGACCTGCCCTTTTATTTTTTCCAGCATCTCTGGAGCCTTTGAATCAAAGCAAACAGACCCGAGAGGTTAGACTAGAAAAGGTTAAAAAAGGGCAGCTTGCAGCTAGTTGTTTCTGCTAAACTTTCTTCTATTTCAGCACGAGTTGGAGGGACTCAGTGCTTTAAATAAAGYGATRTCTGAAAGTGTCTCTGGGTGCAGTCAAAAGACTCAGCTTGTCTTAACTTCAGCTTTTGAAGCAGATATGCTCTGGATCAAAGGACCAGCAAAGCAACACAGATGGGGATGCAGGGTAGCAGAAAGCACTGCTGAGACAATATTTTGCAGGAAATCATGCTAACACTTTTTGTGTTCAGTATCAGGTTCTTGTGTTCTTCAGCACACCGGATCTACATGTTCATTATTAGTACAGACCACATCCTAAAACTGAGAGGAAAAAAGCAAAACAGCTTAAAAGAAAATATGTAAAGTGCATGCAGGATCCAGACCCATCTCTCAGAGTTTAAAGTCTTCCAGGAAGCCTTGATGGTACAGCAGAACATTTCAACATTCAGAAATAGAATTTAACATGGAGGAGACAAGAAAGGAGTGCACTTATTCCATATACGTTTGCTATGAGAACAGCAACCAACATTTTCAGCAAACAGGAAAGGGGTCTAAAGTTCAGCAACAGGCATGGCATGAGGGAGATTAGGAGCAAGCTATCAGTTTTCTTTTTCCTCCTTCTCCTCAACCGTTCTACCTGTGCTTTGGACAACCCCTTCACCYATAGCACAGGAAGGAGTCCAGATCCTGCAGCCACAAGACACAACAGCAGTTCACCTTCTCCCAAGGCAAGTGCTTTGGACAGTGATATTGGACAAGCCCACAGCCACTGGAACTTCCACACTTCTGGAACAAAGATCCATAAAGTGCACCTGACCAAAATTGGTGAGACTTGAGAAATGGAACCTCTGAATGAAATTTGGAAGAAAGAAGACAGGCATAAGCAAGCTGGAAGCACAAGCATATTTTAGCCTGCAAACAAGCAATGTACTGGTGGAAGGGTTGGAGAGCCAGTCCATTTTAGACAAAGACATACTGAAGGAATTTTTTTTAGTTTCTCTACACATAAGACTTCTCTACTGTGAGAGGAAGAACCAGCAAGAGGTCAGGAAGAAGGAAACAGGAAATAGGTAATAATTTCTTAGCTACAGCTTCAGAGGGATGAGCTGCTAGGCATCTGCCCCCACTATGCCCAGATCTGTGCTCTGGCCTGCAACTACAAACACTGAAAATGCTCGTTAATATTAGTACAAAAGCATGAGCCCTACAGAAGCACCAAGTTTAACAAAAATAGTGCACATACTTATAGTGAATAAGAAAACTTAAACAGGAAAACACTTTCAGACAGTAGATACTGTTTGTGATATCCTATGGAATTTGGACTGGTATTCAACAGATCCACTGTACTCTACAAAGGTTCCTCCAGTTGGAGTTTCAAACCCAATTCTCAGTTTCATTAGGGAACCCTTTTCCCCCCTCTCTTATCTACCAAAAGACTTTAAAAGGCTAAGTTGTGGTCATGCAGCTGTAAGCACAACACCAAAGTGCAAAACAGCAATCTTGTCAGATGCTGGCACAGGGTCTGTTATTAACATGTGCTGGGGAGTCTCAGGAACAAGACTGTGCTTCCCATTCCAGCTCCAAGGAGTTAAATGTGAGACCTTCCTAAGATCCTGGCTTTGGAGTTCCATATATACTTGCCTCCTGAGGGATAGGCGTATGTGGTAAAGCCCAAAACAACTATTTTAAAATATATCTCCAATTCCTTGGCCACACCATATATCCTAGTCAAAGGGGATTGCATTGCCTGAAGTAAACCCTGGTTCTATGAAACTTTCKGAGTCAACACAGAGCTTCAAGATTCCCACCAAAGCAGGGGAAGTTCACTACTCCCATATTTGACAACATAACAAGCAACAGGGAACATTTCCATAAAAGGAATTTTTAAACATACATGCTTTATTCATCAAAAGCATAACAAAGATCCCTGTGATGGCCTTTTCCAACATTTTTTCATTCAGCCCATAGCATAAATTTCCAGGATACTCTCTTCCTGCCCAGTTTTGCCTTCTCATTGAAGGAGAACCATTAAAACAGACCCYATTCTTCTGGAGTTCCCAGTTCCTTTTGGCACACAATCTCCCAGCCAGGACCTTGAGGTTAACTGCTATGCCTTTAAGTCCCAGCCTGCAMGACAAGTTTCTTGCAACTCAGTCATTTCTACCAAAAAAGCTGCTGTAGCACCTGGACCAAGTCATTCAGGAGATGGTTGCCCTTTCACAKCCTTGCTAAGTTTTCTCTCTGTCACCCTGCACCCCTTAAAATTTCTCTAAATCCAGTTCACAGAGAGATAAGAAGGTAACAAAGAGGGCACAAAACAGCCTTGAAGTACAAATAAATATATATTTTGTGTTGGCTGTGGACAGTGAAAGTGATAACTGGCTTATGTATAGCCATGAAGACTTCAGTTAGCTTTTTACAAGTTTTCCAAAAGCAAACATTGGAATAACATTCTTAGGAAAGACTGGAATCTTCATTACAAGAAATCCCAAAGACTAAGTAAAAGAAACACACTGAGGATACTTAAGATACAAATGACATTGCCTTAGGGTACAGATAAATAGAGCTAGATCATCTCTCACATGAGCATTTGAAACAAAAAAAAAAAGAAAATGATGAGTGATGGCAAAGACATGTAAAAGAACAGCATTCTCTTCCTCCCAGTACAGACAAAAATGATCAATAAAAAACCAGGCTGCTGCTCAGGCTGGGATCTGCCAGCACTGTGAGGTATTTGTGCAAACACAGATGGATTTCCAAGAAAAGTATCCTCAGAAAAGTGTCAGAGTATCCATTTTTAACACATACAAAAGTCCTGTTGTCCCCAGTGGTTTCAGAATATCTGAAATGAGAACACAATGAGACTGTGATAGGTCTGCACCTGATCATAGCAAAAGGACCAAGTTGATCCAAAGAGAATAGATTCCTTCCCCTTGCCATCCAAACTTAGGGTTTAGTTAACAGGTCACCTTCTCAGCCTGTACAATACATCATCTCCTTCAGAGCACAATGCAAACCACAGGATTATCCTTCTTCTGCAATTGCCATTTCTGAACACCTGACACATATCTGTCAGGTGCACAGTGCTTGCTGTCCAGTCAGAAGGATTATTTCTAGTCACTCCTGCAAGCATTCGAACTGTGCAAACAAATGAGTATTTCATAAAAAAAATAGCAAAAGAAAATTAAGAGGTATTGTGATGCTTCAAGGAGATTGGAGAGTAGAAGAAGACTGGGGAGCTGTCTGAACCAGAGGATTATAAAAGGCATGGAGASTCTAAAGGAGGACAAGGTCAAGTCTCAATCCTGTCATTCAAAGACTAGAAAATGTTGATCATGCTTACTAAGRTAGTTATAATATGAAAGAGTGGTCTCGTACATAAGTTAAGAAACAGAATTCAACTATATAGAACACCACCAGTTCTTGTTCTTTTATTTGTTTCATCTSAAATAATCACATTTAAAGGCTTTCATTCATGCACAGGTAGGATTACAGACTAAGTTTACAAACTCCACTTCAGAGCTGAAAAAAAAAAAATAATCTGTGCTGAGCCCCTACAGCTACTCTATGGGTAGATTTCAAAAGGTATCTCCCCACAGAATTGCAAGGCTCTGCCTAACTTCCAGATGGGACCAGTGTAAAACCTGTTTTTTACAGACTGATTCTGACAAAATACCAGGCTTGCTTTGACTGCCAAAATCAGAGAACTTTGTGCTCATTACTCAGCTCCTGGGTAAGCAAAGAACTTAAAAGTTCTGAAGGAAATGCACCAGGAAAGGTTTGAGGACCCATAGYTGTAGCATTTGGAACATTTCTTCTTGCCAGGCTTTCAGGAGGCAACTAGCTCCACCAGAGAGACCATCCCACTGAACTCTAGCACACGGAATAGTTCATAGTTCATACAACTACACGACAGATACTAACCAGGAGTCTGACAATGCTTTCACACCTCGCCTTTCAAAAACAAATTGAAACTAGACCCACCCCTGTCTTGCCCACTGGGTCATGGTGAGACAGGTAACTCCCCATRTTTCCTCTTCTCTTACTTGTTTGCCCACAGTCAGAAGGTTTCATTCTGATTACATGTCCACCTCGGACATGGCTGAACTACATTTGAGAATAGGTTAAAACAACTGACCTGCCCGAGCTGCAAAGGAGCAAATGCCACACTGTCCTGTTTTGTACCACACTCAGTTCCAGCAGGACTGCATGCCAAGGCTGGGAAACCTAGGATAAGTCTCAGGCATGTAGTAGCAACAGTGGTGTGGGCACAGTGCCCCAGTGTGGGCACAGGCAGGGCAGAACACTCAGAGCTGCAGCACCTGTATACACATCCTCAGGTAAAGCAGCAGCAACTGCCCACAGGTTCTTCTGTACCTTGAAGGTCCCTTGTCACACGGACCTCCCCCCTGCATAATCARTACAATCTCCAGCAGTGTTTCCATGCAGTTACAACAGGATTAGGAATCAGGGCCACGACTTTCAGCTCTTTTCGGCAGACAGACCACTTCAATGAAAGCAGCAAATAGGCAGGTATGCTAAAGATGCCACCCACAGCCAAACTTGAAAAMCTTTATCCCATTCTTTCCACATTGTTATTGTTATTCTTAGATTTAATCAGAGGCATGTCTATAATTCTTGATGCAAAGCCTTTCTACTGGTAATATTACACTGTTATGGTGAAAAGTGAAGTTTCATGGATCACAAGTACAGTGTAAATTAAAGTATGGAGTGAGGACCAGGAGTTCCCTCACAGCACTGTCATACAAATAAAGACACTCCCAGCTGTTAAAGCACTGAGCTTAAATAATATATGAATAGTACTGTCATACTCCACACACCAAGCCACAAAACCCAGAATTAGTTAGAAACTAATTCWGTTGCATCCCTTATTTTCAAGGCCTGGATCTGAGGCAATTGATACTTCATAAATAACTGCATGCAGAGCACATTCCAGGATCTCCACAGAGATGGTGACAAGAAAGAAAAAACCCTGGGGTCAGAGCATACCACATTCCAAGAATCCATCATGTCTGGGTATTGAATACACAACCTTCAGTCACTGGAACTGGCATTTGAGGTGAGAATTTAAGAGCAGAACCTCTCTGTCTCAGATGAGTCACATTTGTCTCCTTTGAAAGCCCATCAAACACATCAAACATGTAGCAGGCATGGAGCGAGTGGTGCTCTTTTTCATTCTCTTCTCCAGTGACAGTATCACCAGCTGAGAAAAAATAGCCAGGTTTTTGCACTGGTCATCTCAGAAAAACAGTGGCACCTCCAGTGTATGCTCAGTCCATTACAGCTACTTAATTTTGCTTTACTTAATGCAGAAAATAACCAAGACATCAGCAAGAAGTCCTCATCAACACAGATTTTACAATCTTATTTCTATCTTAATACTGCCCATAAATCTTTTTCAAACACACAAAGGAGGAATTTCATCTTTAAAGGATCATTTTAATAACATCAGACAAAAATCAAAGGAAGAAACCACAGATAATGAAAATACTTGATTCCAACAACTTATGCTGTTTCAGTATCACCACGGAATTTGCATGACTGACGCCAAAATCACAAGAATCAAAAAGAAGATTCTGTCTGCCGAAAGTCAGCTAAACAGACAGAGTTTGTACATCTTTGCAATTATCAGACACTTAAAAAGACCATCAGTTTACTGGAACAAAACAGGTGATGTGAATTAATGACTAAAAGAGAAATAAAATTCTTTAACTTCAAGCATTCCACTTCCAGGTGCTGGCCTATGAAAAGGTACTCCATGCCCACTAGGGAAAAAAAAGAAATCAAACAAACAAACAAAACAAAACAAAAACAAAACAAAAACAAAACAAAACAAAAAAATCAAAGGAAAATTTGATAATTTTAAAACCACATTCTGCAGGCAGGTTAGTCAGAGGTTGCATTTCCAGTAAAGCAGCCTAACTTTTACCTATGTCCTTGTACTGATCAATTTACTTTAAGTCCTCAGAGACAGCATTAGGGAAGCAATAAATTGGCTTTCTAAGAGGCGACAGATGCAGACTACAAGGTCCCTCTCCATGTTACTGCTGTTTGGACGAGCTGGCATTTGAGTGCTCTCTTCCAGAGTTTTTCTCACTGCTCCTGTAAGAAACCAACTGAAATTTTCCCAAAGACACTTGCATTAAAAAAATGAGGTCCACTCAAGGCTGGCAGTAAGCCCAATCAGACTAAAAAGATCTTGATACTTTAACCAGCTGATTAAGGAAGCTGAAAGTGTCTCGTCCATTGGCAGCTCTGACTTACCAGTCCACTTAAGTAAAACCAGCAAGACAGTGGGGGGCTGCACACCCCTTTTGTAGGCTCCTCTCAGTTGCAAAACATGGTAAGAAATAAAAGCATAAGAAAGTTACTGGAGTGTAAGCAGAGTACAAGAACTACATTTTTACTAGATTGATGCAAACRTTACCTTCCAGCTGAGTTCAATTTCACAGTCCAAGGCAAATTTCAAAGCTCCAGTTTTTATTTTTAAAAAGAAATTCAGTGTTTAACTGAGAGACTTAAAAAAAAAAAAAGTTGTCTTTGAAGAATTTAAGAAGTTGTCTCACCTAAGCAACTTCCCTTTTTCAAAGACTCAGTGTTAATCAGTATGGTTTGAGGGAAAGGGAAACAAAAGTGGGGGGGCAATAAAGAAATACTCAAATAATTATAGATGCCCCATCCATAGTTCTCTAACAAAGAGCGGGGGTTTAAATTTCTCATGCTGTAGGGTTGCATTGATACTAGGTTTGTCTACAAATTCTATTTCACACGCCTGGGTGCTGCAAGGAGAACGCTCCAGCTCCAACACTGTTATGTTGTTTGGCACCGACGCAACAAGTACATTCCTTGGAACATAAAGGGTCAGCTGAGGACCACGGGCTGGCCAGTAGCGACCAAGATTAAAGCCATTGATCCAAATTTGTCCCTGTTAAGAGAGAAAAAATAACAACATTTTAATAATTTGTCAAAGATGAAATGACAAAATACATTTAAGCATAACACTCTTGACATAGGAACTGAATGCCCTTCATCTTTCAGTTTGATTGAACACAAGGATAGAAAATCTGTACAAGAATATGCTAATGACAATCAAAAGACCCAAAATTCCCTGAGCAGTTAAAGCCATCACTAATACAGAAAAAAAGTGGTACAATACTGCAGTAATTCCAAATATGACAATACTTAGAAAAACAACTGCAGGTTCCTTGCACTAGTTTTTAACCCCAAGTTTAAAACCAAAACAAATCTGAAAATCTTATTTGCTTGAAGCTAATTGTTAAAARGAGAACAAACTCACAGAAGAAAAAGCAGGTCTGAATGCTGTTCTGGCTCTCTGTACAAGCATAAAAGTACACTACTTCGCTGTCCCTGTTCTGTGATTTCAAGGGCAAGATAGAGCTTGTCCAGACACATGAAATTCAGATGTCTCTTTTACTTGTAATAGTTTAGTTGTCAAAAGTATTTGTGAAATCACACTTCAAAAAAGTACTGTTGTAGTTATGTACAACCATTAAAATCCTTGGGGATCTGTAATATTATTTTAAGTTCAATGAAATTGTGGTTAACTTGGTATATAAATTCTTAAAAGTGCTTTTTAGAGTTGAGGTGGTCAGAGCCCCTAGTTCAAAATACTGTTCTAATACTGCAAACACCTTAAGTTCAAAAGATTTAAAAAAAGGGGCAAGAATAAAAACAAAAAAAGGCAAAACACTAATTTGTGTACCACAAAACAGACACACTGGACTGACATAAATACAGATTTTCCCAAAAGTCTATAAAGACAGGCTGCAGAATGTTTAATGAAACTGTAAATGGACTCCTACTGAGTTGAGCTGAGTCTTGGTTCTTAAGCAAGACAGAAGGGAGGATATACTGCTGATTTGGATAAATTATTTGCTTTTTACTCTTTCAAAATGTCCTTTCACTGCACGTCAAACAAGAGGTGCAGAGTCAAGAAAAGGGATGGGAACAGATAATTGCATCTGCATTTTCACCTCTTGCTTTGGTCTTTGGTAATCATAATACAGAGGAAAACCACACTGACTCCTGGCATGGATGTACACTGATAAGTATAGTAAAATTGTCTGAATCAGTGGAAAGTAGGACTTTCATTGCATTCAGTGATTTCTAAACTTGTCTGGGTTAGATGAAATCAGAATATTTTAACATGACTTATAGAAGCACAATTGTCATAGAACAAGTATTGCCATTCAAGGTCCTTTAGCAGTTTTTAGCAGTATTTTTCTCGTGTTTCATTTTCCAAGTATTTATGAAAACAAATTCTATGAAACTCACAAGAGAAACTTTTCAAGGAGTTAGTAATGTACAAATGCAGTTGAGTTATTTTGTCTCTATATACACTTCCGTACTATAAGATCCTATCTTGCACTGCTCTGCCAAGGTGTTAATAAACCCTGACCTCAAATGTTTTTGGTTTTTAAAATCAAATTCATCTTTATTCAAGCTCACTTCTTTATGCAGTAGGTTTAGAAGAAAACATGGTATGAATGCAAAATTTCCCCACACAAGATGGATGAGTGTGTGTACCCACTAGGCAGTAGCCCTCCTCCCACAGAGAATGACAGTAACCTGTGGGAAGTAGGTGTTTACTGTAGGAATAAACTGCATTAGRGTTCTGATGCAGGAGATATGATCAGACAGGTCTCTGTTTCTGATCTTAATCAGTCACTGGTTGCAACTCATTTTTCCAGTAAAGCGAAAAACTTACATGTCTCAGTTCCAARCTGTCTTTATTAACACTGAAGTTTCTGCACTCTCAGGAATTTTTATGCCCTAAACCAGTAAATTATKACATTATATACACTACTAATAAATATGCCCTAGACAAAATAAAAGAAGAGGGAACTTTATCTCCAATAGCAAGACAAGGAACAGCAACTACAGCCTGTGATTCCACAGGAATAAAGAACAGTCGTGACTCAAATCCTCTTTCCTGTTGAGCAAAAAAAAGAGGCCCAGTAAACCTAACCATTCACTCAGTGGCCTGTATGCTTAAGGGCATTGTGATTCTTCAAGTGAGGATAGAGTACGTTTTTTTACTAGAGAAGGGTTTAAAAAGCACTGAAAGCAAGTGAGCTACAATATAGGTCATGACTGTTAATGCACCCTTCCTTCCAGGCTGTCCATCACGCTTTATTCCTTGCCTTTGCAAAGGCAAAACCATCATTAGGACTTTAAGTTTTCTTGGTCAGTGTTGTTTCCATGGTTTTTCAGCAACTCAAATAGGCGAGTTTTAACCCATTAAGAATTCCTCTCCTCACTTGGGCAATTTAAACAGTGCCACTCAAAGAACTAAAGCCCAGATACAGTGGGGCTTTATACCTTTAAGGTGGAATTCATACCTTTAAACCTTTAAGGCCCTCTGCCTTAMAGGCATTTGTTCATTTGTAAAGTTATCTGAAAGTCTCAGTTTCCAGGTGTCTTAAAACTCTCATCCAATCCACATAAAGCTTGAAGGATCAATTCAACAGCCCTACTAAAGTTCATGTGAAATATTTTAACAGGACTRCTTTACAGGATATACAAACTATGTGGAAACAGAGATTTCCACAGATCAGAAGAAAAGATTTCCCCCAATACATAAGAATTCTTGGACTACCTTGCTATTTTAAACATGAGTTTGCCAACTGGCAGGTATGGCCATCTCACTTCCTGAAGAAGATTTATGACTGATGGGTCAGAGAATTTACTGAAAAAGTCTCAGATTCCAGTTGCCATGAAAAAGAGCTATTTTTAAATTTTATCCAGTGATTGTGTGACATGCATGTACATGGGAACAGGGACTAAAKCAGACTTCCCCATCCAAGCCCAGAGTCAGCAACATTAAGTGCATGGAATGAATCACCMGCCTTCTGCATATTGTGAAAGGCTTTAACCACTACAACACTGGCAATGGAGACAGAACAGCAACTCCTCCAGCTTTAATAGCAGTAGAAACTGAGAAATTAATTGGTTCAGAAAAGAACAATTTTGCTGCCTCACATTGTCACAGATGCTTTCCTAAAGCCAGGACTTAAACATTTAGGCTTCTCAGAGGAGTGGCACTTCAGTGCACATACACTGCTCCCTGTGCCTCCCAACAGGGACATGAGCTGCTCCTCACCCATCCTGCATGCTGCTGATTTCAAACATGGCACTGTGAAAACACACTCCTTCTTGCTCTAGCCMTGTGAGAAGTTCCCATTAGCAGAGATCTGCCCACAGGATCTGCTGCTTGTCACAGCAATGCTCCCTGATCCATTCAGTCCAGGTACAGGTAACCTCCTCCATGTACACCACCAGCCACTGAGCCCAACAATCTTTATGCTTTGCAACAGGATCCATGGTTCCTCACACAGCACCTCAAATACAACCCAAAAAAACCGCTCGCAACTCAATACAACATTTCTAAACAGCCTGACAGTTAATGTTTCTCACTCTTGAAAAACTAGGGTGGGTTGGTTGGGTTGCTTTGTTTTTTGAGATTTTTTGTGATGGTCCATTTTCTAGACCAATACCATGCATCTTCTGAATATGTTTCCTTTTCTTGATGTTTTATATCCAGATTTACTTAAAGCAAAGAATCTATTTCTTAGTAATTTAAATATATTGAAGACATCCACCACTATGACCAACTTCCACCCATCCATGAGAGGTGGACTTTGATTGTCCATAGAAGTTTCAGTAAGTTATCTAAGTGGACTTCGAGTTTTTTACAGCAAAAACTTGTACCTTTGTCCAGCCAGGAAAATTCACATAGGTGTCTTGAGGCAAGTCTGGAATCCCTCCAGGAATTGTAAGACTACCAGTGTAAAATGTAGGTACTTCATAACTCAGTGTATTGCCAGCAGATCTCTCCGGGTGATGAAAGAGATCAAGAACGTCATAGTTCACTGCTCCATCTATGTTTAGAGGATAGATTTCCCATTCAAYGAGTGTATCTTCAGCAAGAGTTAAATTTGAAACTAGACCCTAAAAGGAAGAAAAACAAAAACAACACCAAAATATAAGATAATTAGCTCATGTTATWGAAGTTATTTGGCTGCAATTATGAATCAGTCAGGAATAAAAACTGAATCAAACTACTTGTAATTACTGGCTGCCAATCTGTGTATGAAAAAATCAAGCATCTGATCCTCAGCAAGTTACAAGCTTTGCTTAAGAATAAAAGGCTGCATTTATTCTCTGTCAAAGATCTGTTCCTCTTCAAAGTTTTAAGCTGTTGTTGATACCCAAGGGTTTTTTTTTTTTTTTTCAAATTATTTTCCTCTAACAGAGAAAATTTCCATTTTGCTTTAACACGAACATGATTCCAAAACCTGAGGCTTAATAAAAAGCAGAAGCAGCATCAAGTATCATGAAGCCTGAGATACCATCACTTGGTTACACTGAGTCACCAACCCAAGAGATTAATCTGACCATTTAACCCAAGAYATTAAATGGCAGAGAAAGTGGTATTTCCTTCCTACAAATCTGCTCCAGATAAGATAGAGTATTACAAAATCAATGCACATGCCTGATTCAGTGAAATACTTTCAGCTTACAGTCAGCTTGAAGCCATGGAATCCAGTCTCATTTCTACAGGACCACGTACACACTGGTTCACAGCACACCAGGGTACTTGCACAACAAATACCAAAGCAAGGTAAGGTCATCATTTAAGAAGAATGAAAAGAACATTAAGTTACTCCTGCACACAACCTAATTTTGTTACAGCTATAGTTCCTAAAGTGGTGTTTCAGTGCAATGCATGGTGTTGATTTTAACTGCTTGAATTGACCCTGCATGGAAGCTGGTTTTTAGTGCAACACAAGTTACATTGCAAACGCCACATGTGGAACAGGAACAAGCACAATCACAATTTCTATGGCTTTGGAAAGTTGATACTATGTAGTGTGTCTGTTGTGATATCTCATAAACATTGCACTGTCTCCACAAGGCTCGCCATCTGTACTTTTCAGAACAGGAGCTTATTTTGCTTATCTCAAAATGAAATATCTGCACAAAATGACAGAACTTTTCCATATATCCTAGACTCTACTCTGCCTAGCAATCAACTTARGTAATGCAACATAACTTTAGGCTGAACCTTTAACCTGCCTCCCTAAGCTCATCTGCAGGCACTATGAACAGTGTGTTTTTTCGAATTATATGAAGTGCCTGCTAAACAGTCTAACTTTGGTCTGCATAAGAATACACATTCAATAATCCAGATCAAGATATAAATTTTCCAAGTAAAACTGAGATACAGGTGGCAGTGAGCATGTAAGAAGACACAAAAATAAACCCAGAAACCACACTCTTCCTTCCTTTGTATCCTTCAACAACACGACTTAGATCAACAGGATGTTTTAAAACCAAAATCCTTTTAAGATTCCTTTCCAAAAGCTAGATGTCTAGTTCCATTTCAAGCTCAAAAAAGTGATAAAACCCCAGACAAATAAAACAGTGAAATCCTATCCTTTTTGCTTAAAAATGCAAGGCTTCGCACARTTAGTATTTCCCCAACCTGATTTTCAAAAGCATATAAATTTTAAAAACCCAAGGTACAATTACACGCTGTTTCCAAAATCAACACGAAGGAGAGCATAAGGGATGGATTCTGTGGGAAAAAGCAATGCATGCAGTCCAAAGCTACCCAAAGAAAGTTGCCTTTTCTATATAGAAAGATCCTGCTTTTAGAGGATTATTTTTAATGTGCGTATGTCTCTTAAACCTGCTTTCATTCTTAAATTGTTAAAAGGTGTAAGTGTGAATTTCAKCTCAACCACTGCAACTGAGCACCTCCCTAATCCAACCTCTAAACCTCTATTCTGTTACCTTAGGTTAGCACCAAGTATATAGGTTTCCTTATCATCTGACCTGTTACTAAGCAAACAAACAAACAAATAAATAAATAAAAGCAATGTTTCTGCTCCCTCAACATGAAGGTAAAACACTGGGTTACTATAGCTTTCTTCCCCTGCCACTCAGATAAAGGCAAAGTACCTTGAAGAAATAACATGAACAAAGCTGGTRTTACTACTACCCACTGTGTCCTAATAATATCAAAAACCAGAAAAAATGGCATGCTGTGAACTGTACACAGCACAAACACAAGACTGACCATCACAGCACTCCTCTCGTTTACCAGCTATCATGCAGCACTGGGGATCCCATTAAGTCTGAAACCAGAAAAGTTTGCTTTTTGCCCCTGCCCTTGCTAGTGCTATGCTAGTGGCACCTCTGTGATACTGGGTTAACATGGCAAGAGTTGGCTAGCAAGGGGAGCTGGAGGGGGTGCTTTTCTGAGAAGATGCTGCCCCGTGTTAGACAAAGACAGTTCCATCTGACTCGGAAACAGACCCACCACTGAGCCCATCAGTGATTCTGGCAATGCCTCTATGATGACATATTTAAGAATAAATTGAGCTCCCCAGATKGAGTCTGTTTTCTCTATGACGGTAATTTCTGAGTGACCCCCTTTTCCTTATCTTGAACCATAAACCCTTTGTTGYGTTTCCTCCCCCTCTCCTGTTGGTGGAGGAGGAGTGACAGAATGGGCACATGGCTTTGTGGACACACAGCTGCCAGCCAAAGTCAACCCACCACAGCCACTCACACATGGAGGTGACAGTCCCGAAGTGTAGCACACACCCAGAAGCACAGCAAAGCTTTCTGATAATTATCTCTAACACTTGGTCAGTCCATGTAAGCTGGCATGCTAAAGTGCTCCTGGTCAGCCTTTCCCACATACTGAAAGGGTACACTGCTGACAAATGAAACGGAACAAGAAGAGATACAAACATACACGCATTTCCCACCTGCCCAAAAGCAATCCCAGGATTCACAAGGCTCAAAGTGCAATCAAGTTCTGGACCAATTTCCAACCCATTTCTGGAGTTTATAGAAACAATTTTGCATACTTTTAAATGTTAGCTACAAACTCAACTCAACCTGAAAAATCTTGTGGGCGACACTTTGGCTGACATTGTAAATGAACAAAGTTTAAAAGATGTCTAGCAGCTTTTAGTTTCACATTGATTTTGGTGACTGGAAAAACTCAGATGAAAACTAGTGTGTAGTTATACTTTAAGTAAAGTTACAGCTGTCTAATCCTGACCTTTTTGCTCTTTCTAATTCACTACTTTCTTTTTAACCTGTGGAGAAGGGGAAAATACATTACAATCCAATAACTCAAAAGATTTTACYTACCTTAAAGTCGTTATTGTATCTACCGAAGTTGACTCGGCCCATATTCTCTACCAAGATGTCCAGATTTGCTCCAGCCGGTCCAGTTATATTTATCATAAGGGATTTGTCCCTTTCAAGAACACCCTGAGGTACCTATATGAATTGCAACAAGAGGAAGAAAACAATAACCAGTGAAAACCAAAAATATCCCATTATTTGTATTTTCAACTTGCATGAAAAAAATCAACTGACAAAGGTAAAAAAGGAGTAAAAAAAMCCCTTTCCTTTCCCACTCTTGCATGTGAGCATATGCACACACAAAGAGCTTGTACAACAACATTCACATTACAGTATATCAACTGGATGTGCTAGTGGGTTTTGATGCACCTAAAAGTTCCCAAAAATTCACAAAAAAGTTCCCAAATTTAGTCMAGTGACTGAAAAGATTTTGGCAATATCAGTATTTTAAAGGGACTYCATCTTCCAATTAGGTGTGTGTCAATATTTAGTTGTATTTATTCCTATTTCTRCAACACAAGGAAAGAAGATCTTGATCTGGACATGCAGGTGATGAGAGCCAATACAGGTCAAATATTCATTAMCAAATTGACTGTTAAAGCTAAGAATTTATAATAATTCTCCTTAAGCGGGTCAAAACCCTGCTTAAGGGAAGAAAGATTAAGTTCACATTCTGTACAATAAACTTCTTTTTTTTTTTGAAATTGTGGTTAGGACCCAGATTCATAAGGTAAGGCACAGGCTCAGACTTCCTCCTCCTTCCACCCTCGAAAGAAGAAAAAGGAGAATAATAATATAAAAAAAAAAAATCTCTGCAAACACTGAAGAAATCCACCAAGCATATATATCAGTAACATATTCCATAAACCTGCAAGTAAATCTGTTCTCTAGGTCTTTTATTCACCTAAGTCATGAATCTGTATAAACATTCAAATATGTCAAAAATTGCAAGACAATAGGTAGTCATATTTTCTGAAATACAGAGTTGAACATCTGGTATGAATCAACTATACACTTCCTTATTTTTCTCATTTGATATAATGAACTCAGGGCTGCTTTGGTAATCTGGAGAAAGTAGGAAAAAAGACCCCCAGTCTGCATACATGACTTTCATGAAGGCCACTGAGGGCAGAAATTAATACCAGCAAAAAATGTTTTTACCCCATTGACAGAGACATAGGCACGATCATGGACTCCATTTAAAGGTGAAGAMAGTGGTGTTGGCTCCACACAGTCCTTTGGAAGTGTAGTTCTGTACAGTACAAACCCAAAATACTAGGAAAAGAAAATAAAAAAACCCTATCAGGTTAATGAACCAAGTCATTCTGTAGTTTCAATTCAGGTAATGAATTAAAAACATCCCACATTTCTGCCTACATGCTTGGACTGAAATGCTAACTTTCATTCACTTCATACAGTGACTATCACAGACACCATTTCAGATTTTACTTTGACCTTTAGGTAATGGATGACCTTTAGGTAAACTGGTAAAAATCCCGTTATAACTGAGTTTATATAGAAATCTTGTAAGTTCATTTCTCACTCAGTGCCATAAATTGATATATTTAGGTCAACATTATCTAATTATCTATTATCTTTAAATACTACACGATTTACATTAGGAACATTTTGAAATACTTTTCACTAAGTTCCCCATCAGGAATGGAAAAAAATTAATATCCATTACTGAGACTTTGACAGGCTGGAGAGTTGGGTGGAGATGAAACCAATGAACTTCAAAAAAGGCAAATGCAGGATCCTTCTCCTGGGGAATAACAACCCCATGCACAAGCAAAGCTTGGGGCCCAATCTGAYGGAAAGCAGCTCTGTGGAAAAGGACCCTGGGGTCCTGGTGAACAACAAGCTGTCCCTGAACCAGCAGTGCCAAGAAAGCCAATGATATCCTGGGGGCATTAGGAAGAGCATTGCCAGCAGGTCGGGGGAGGTGATCCTGCCCCTCTACTCAGCTCTGGTGAGGCCACATCTGGAGTGCTGTGTCCAGTTCTGGGCTCCTCAGTACAGGAGGAACTGCTTGATAGAACTACTAGAGCAGATTCAGCAGAGGGCTATGAAAATGACTAAAATAATAAAAAAAAAGTCTCTTAAGAATCTGAAAATTAATACTTGAGAGGAGAGAAATCAAGGTGAAAGTCTGTACAGCACAGACACCTACATCCACAGAAAGAAGAAAATTCAGGTGCAAAACAGGAACACTGCAGAACATGAAAAGACTTCCAATGCAAAAATCCTGGATACCTTCATAATACCATTACTTTTGTGCTGAGATGAAATGTAAGACATGACATAAGAAGAGTAATAACACAGAGGGCTATTCAAAGAAATTTTACAAAATTATTGTGAAGTGCCAACTGAAGGAATCCTAACCTGCTTTAGCTCAACAAAGGTCAATGGGTAAGTGCTTCTCACTGGTCCAGGTGACAGTCCATCAAGAACATCCAACACAGTGCCTGCCTGCAGCATAGAAAAAGCAGATATATGAAGGTCAGTAACTTCTAGTCCAAATATAAAAGCTTGCACATCCAGCCACCAGACCAGCTAGATGCATGTGTCCAGAAAGTTAACAAACCCTTAAACCATCCTTTCAGACATGTTTATAATACAATACAGTAGAGAGAACTGATGAACTCTGAAAGAAACATGTTACATGTAGAGCAGTACTAAAAAAAAAAGATGTTCTCTTGCCATGCATTCATAAACACAAAAGTGACCCTTTGCTATTTAACTAGAACTAACCCAAGAGTTTCTCACAGAAGTTCTATAAACATATAAAACTGCTCTGGTACATTAATACAAAGCAACTATATTATCTAAATTTTGCTCAATTATACTTACAATCAAGCTGTAGAAAATGCCATTAATTCCCACTGACTTACTCTGGAATCATTCTGATCCCACTGAGTTACTCTGGAATCATTCTGAATTAAGTAGGGCTACAGTTTAATTCCATTAAGAGCTATCCAAGATGAATTTATTTAGTCTTAACTGATTTTAGAAACTCTGAGGCTGTAATTCAGTTGCCACATTTAAGTAGCTGGACTGATTTTAATGAGACTGGGAGCAAGGTTTAGGCTAGTCATATACATAAACATCTTAATGAATAAGGACCTAGATGTGTACAACTAAACTGTCTTTTTTTTTCCATCTGCAATTTCCTTTCGTGATTATGGAATTTTCTACCCATCTACAATTCTCTCTCAAAGACTACTATCAGTTTTAGGTTAGTCAAAATACACACAATATGCCTAATGTCTTACAAGCTTAAAAAATCAGTTGCATGCAATTTCTCATGAAAGATGACAGTCTGTTTCAGCAGAATTACTGTCATTGTTCAGTGGTAACTACACATTAGACATTCATAATACTTCTCATAAACAGATTTACATTCAAATGCTTGAGAAAAAAAAACCAACAAAAAACCCCAGAAAATAAAAGGTGTTTGAGATCATGTAAAACTGCATACTGTAAGAGCACTCACAGCAATACAAAATTCTGAAGGTACTTCAATAACAAATATTTTTTAGAATATACATGAAAGTAGTGCTGAAATAATGAAATGGACATACTGTATTCTGCAGTGATGCAACAGAAGCCAGCAGCAATTGCCTATGTACAAATAATTAAGTTTGCAGTTTTGGCTGGGATACACTTAATTTTCTTTGTACTAGTTAGTAGCAGGCTGTGTTCTGTATTTTTGCTAAGACTGTTGATAACACAGGGRTATTTTGCTTATTGCTGAGCAGGGCTTACACAGAGTCAAGAACTTTTCTGCTTCTCTCACCAGAGAGAAGGCTGGGGATGAACAAGAAGTTGGGAGAGAACACAGCCAACACAGGTGACCCCCACTGACCAAAGGATATCYGTATGGTGTCACACCCAGCAATAAAAGCAGGGGGAAAAATGAGGAAGGTGAGATGTTTGGAGAGACAGTGCTTATCCTGCAAGCAACCAATACACAWGAATTGTTCAAAAGGTGTGTGATGTGGCACTCTGGAACATGGTTAGTGGAGAACACATAGTGGCTGGGTTAATGCTTGGACTCAACAACCTTAGAAGTCTTTTCCAACAATAATGATTCCATGATGGAACACTGCTTCCCTGGGAGAGGACCCAATGCCTCCCTGCATAAAGGCAGCAGTGAATGASATCCTTATGCGTGCAGTTCTTGCTTTACCTACGAAACTGTTTCAACCCACAAGTTTTCACACCTCTACCTTTCCCATTCCCTCCCCCACCCTACTGGAGAGAGAGTGAGCAGCTGCACAGAGCTCAGCAGCCCACCAAGGTTAAACCACAGCAACCATACAGACACAGACTTTTGCAATGACATTATCTTAACTCTAGCTAGGAACAAGCAAGCAAAAGGATGCCATAGGTATACAAAAGGTAATATCTGGAGGTTGGATCACCCTCACAAGCCCACAGTKAAGCATGTCCACTTGGGCAAAAAGACTGCTGGTCAAGCATGGCTTGCAAAATGTTGGTGGAAGTAGTTTCCTCTTATGCTTTCAGTTTAAACATTGTACCTAAAATACCAAKCATTCACAGAGTAAAACTCCACAAACACTCCAGACAGCGTATGTGCTTCATTCTTTAGGTTGTGCTGTTCCAAGGGAGAAAGTAATGTTACAGCAATATGAAGGATTTGCCAGTCCACAGGAGAGACTGAACTACCAGGTCTTCAACAAGAGCTGTGAAGCACAAGATGCACAGACACCGACAGAGATAATTTATAGAACTTAACAAGCCTGTGGGCATTAACAGTCTTRGGTGTCCCCAGGTGGACAGCAAAACCAGAAATGAAGATAAGCAGCATTAAGACATGGTCACTTGAATGAGCCACTAGGTGGCAATGAATGCTGCTTTGTGCCTCACTGAACTGAGTATTGGCAGTCTTGTACATGCACTTTTTGATTTTTTTTAAGCCCCTGCTACCAAAGGGGCTTCTGTTCTGAATRTGGGTCAAGCACATATGATTCACTTAACAATTGTGCTGGTCAAAGCTTGTTTCTTTGAAACTTCAATAGTTTATTTTTGTTCAGATTTTCTGTCTTCCGTGGTACATACAAAAAAAACCCTCAAGGCAAGATCTGGTCTTGTTGCAAGTTCCTGTCAACTGTGACTTAGTGGACAATCAGTACCACAACAGAAACTTAAGTTAACTTAAAAATCATAAATATTATCAGGAATTTTTAAAAATAACCTGCAAAACAACAGATGACTACTAATAAAAATAGCAATACTTTTTTAAATCCTCCAAAGCRAAGTCTTCAAAAGCCAAGTGTCATCAAGCATGAAAGGAAAAAGAAACAAAATAGCTCCAACAGGAATATCAACTATTGGCAGCATCCTGTCTGCTTAACTATTTTCTTAACCCCAACACACACCAGTGTTTCTTGCTATTGCTATTGCTTGAGCTCTCCACACCCTAGGAACCAAGTACATCTCCAGAACCTGTCTGCAAGKTGCTGTGCTAGGGCAAGCACTTCCTTGTGACCAAGCCCTCCTCAGAGAGCTGGCGACCAGAAACTACCACTTGCTCATTAGCTTGCACAGCCACACACTGCAGGCACTCATTCATTTCCATCTGGAAAGGATGCTTCCCAAGTTCTGGGTCTTAAACCCTTAAAAACTTTTAATCTGGTTCACATTTCTTGAGCCCTTCTACTGCAGTTCTGCCATTCCTTGTCCTCATTCCTCACTGTCAACACTCCTCTTTTGCCTCTATGCAAAAAGATTTTTTTCTTCATCACCTGCTCTTCTGTTCCCTGCTCTTATATGCCAATAGCAGTGTCTCAAGCATCTTTTGATAGATTCTGTTTTTCCCACTCACGAGGATTCTTTAAAATAATTCAATAGCTCAAAACAAACAACTGCCTGATCAGGGGAGTTGGTACTTAAGGACTGAACTGTCAGAGAATATCTTGTAGAAATTAAAAAGATAGAGAACAACCTGCTCTGGCCACATGTACCTCTGTAAGGTACACCATATGATGCCTGAAAATACTCCAGAGTCTCCTTTCACTCTTCCTTTCTGCAAAAGTGTCAAGGGAGTTGGCTCACTGGAGTAGATTCAATGCTCTCCACAGGACATTGACTCAGCTGCAAAGTGGAGTCCAAGTGGACCTCAGCTGCAAAGTGAAGATCCACACAGTACTTGTGTYAGCACTGACTGTCACTGCAAATGACATAGCTAGGATATTTACGGTTACCAAAGCTAAGTGCCATTATTTAGYATATTCCCTCTGATATAAACCAAAATACTTTCAGGCTTCTCCACACAACAAGGTGCATTGTACCTGGTCCCAGCTGGGACTAGAATGGAGTTGGGAAGGTGGCTTTGGGCTGGGACAGTACAAACCCTATGTGATTTGAGACTCATCCTGTGTAGCAGGGCAACCTAGCAGAGTAAACTGCTGCTGAAGTTAAGCAGTGGGTCACTGCTTCATAGAAAACAGTTCCAGAGGCTTTCAGTGTAGATGGCAGTGTATGTTCAGGCATGACAGTGTATGTTCAGGAATCTTACATCTAGCAGTTTAGTTTACACGCCATCTGGATTCCTGAAACTGCTGCCTGGAGAGTGAAACACTTCCTCTCAAAAAAAAATCAGAAAAGTGTAGAAGGTGCAGGTCAGGTCAAAGCTGCAATATTTGAGCAAGTTTGATCACTTGACTCCTTTGTGAGTGTCCAGCAGAATTCATTTCTTGAAGGCTTGAAAGAGAAAGTTCATCATGCTAGTGAAACTGGACAGCCTTATCTGAGAGCCATGAACCATGACAAGATGGGAGAATCAAAATCTGGTAACTGGGCTCCCAAGTGCTCTCAACCAACGACAGCAGCCACAGAGGTGGGTGTAGYGATAAGAGCCTATAATTAGTCACTACTGCCAGCTCAGGGAAACCACATAAGGCATGAAGACACTCAAAGGTTGTTGAAAATGATACAGATGTGTTTCAACTTCAAAGGTAAACCACTTTTATGCAAAAAGTATTTCTGCCCACCACTTGAGCGGAATGACTTGAAAATGCTTGTGMAGCCTTATCGCTACAAAAATTTTGCAATGTTTCAGCTGCAGAGGGTAACAGATCAAACACATCACTACTTGGAAAAATAACTGCCAAACTGAAATTATAAAGTCAAAGCATTAGAGTTACAGTATCCAGCACATCAACTGCAGTAATCCTCCATCCCAAAATTTGTCTGTGCCCAGCAGAAACAATTCATAGCTGTTCATMCCTGCTGGCTCTTCTGTTGCCCATTAATCCACCCACTTCACTCCCCGCAGGAACCCAGTTCTCAACTGTATCTCACAGAAAATTGTCCTTGGTCCTACAATGATGGTSTTATGGTCAAACCCCAGATACTTGTGAGCTGACCAGCTACACCACTGTTGCCTAACTGGGTTCTGCATGYTTCTCCCTCAGCAGGAAACTGATTTTATTTCTCTCATCAGCTACAGATTTGCACAAGTCTTGTCAGAAACTTTATCAATAAGACCTCCATATTTATCAAAAATGTACCAYATTCAAAATTTAAACACCTGGAAGTATTTAAAATCTGTACATCCTACTTTTCCTTCCACCTCAGAGGTGTCACCAGGTACAAAACCACTCCTTGCTCATAGCTGTCATGCTAACATTCCCCCAGCTACTTTACTCATACATATCTTTGTTAACTCATACATATGAGTTAACAACTCTTTGACAACTATGATTATGTTGTGTTAATAATATATTAATTTCAGTTTAGCAAAACATCAGGCATATACTGCATATTGTAAAAACCGTCTTTTTATAACCTGGTAAGATGCTCTGCTCATTTTCTAATATGGGCATGATTACTAACTCCCAAGCTCTGCTCCCTCCTTCCTCAAAGTTTGCTTTCCAGTTTTTCCTCTTCATTTTGTAGAATATCCAGAGCCTGTTGTGGCACCTTTACAAACAGTTCTTTGTAACAAGCAAACACTGAGCATTATGAAAAGRTACACAGTGTATTAAAGATGCTAACTTACCTTCTGCAAGCGAACCTTTCCATATGCAAATTTGGGTGTTGTTGGAGGGATAAGACCTTCTGGTAACTGCTTATACTAGAAAGAGAAGGAAGGAAAAAAACCACACACATAAAACTTAAATACAAACACATTTTAAGTGAATTCTCACTTTATACTTCACAACTTACAGAATTAGAACTTTGGCTCAAAGCAAATAATCTCCCTAAAGTTTCCAGCTGCATATAGTCTTAAAATGGAGATCTTTTTTTAAAGAAAAAAATCTGACTTGATCGCAAATGATAAATATTTTCTAATAACTATTCAACTCAACGTAAAGGTAAAAAGCTTAATGAACAAACTGAATTGCCAAAAAGATCCCAATGTCTTGGAGCCCTCCTGTGGCTACAACTTGAGTTACTATCTTCCACAGTTTTTCTGCAGTCCTCTCCCCAGTTCATGGGAGCTTGAGTGAATCTTCCCAAATCTGTAGGACAGTATTTCCAYCAGACCCTTCCTCAAAAACACTTTCTTATAAGAATTATTAGCCTCTTGTGCTTTTCCTTTCACTGTGTTTGTGTCTCACCACCACCACCTGCTAATCCATTACTGCCTGGGCTGGGATCTTTGAATAGCAGGCCTTGAGACCACAGCTCCATGAATCCCTGAGGTCCCATCTTTAGCTTCCCTCAGGTCCKGTTCTAGACAACTGTCCAACCACAGTCATAGGAAGCCAAGGAAAGGAAGACAAGGAAACACTGACCACCCATCTGCTTCTGGTTACTGCTTGCCCCA